CTTCTACTGTCTGCTCAATTTTGCTGTACACTAAAACTGTTCTAAAAATAAATCTTATTAAGAAAAGTCTATTATGTTATTTATAGAAGACAAGTAATCCATTAAATAACTTTATGCTACATAAAATATAATCTTGAGCTAAAATTAAAGCTTTCATGAGAAAACACAGTAACCTCTAAAACTTCATTAATATAAAATATAAGGTAAAATATTACTGTTTACTTTGCAATCATCCTCTGTGAAACATGAAATGCATAAATAAAATCAGGATATTGAAAATATATTTAACATGAGGCCAAATCTTAATTAAAATTAATTACAAAGGTCATTAATTAACCCAGGGGTCATTTACACATCCATAGATAATACTATCTTATGCAAACTACTCTGAATAATAGAAGTCTTTGTGACTAAAATTAGAAACTACTACCTAAAACACCTGACTGAATCTTGCTGGTAGATAAAAATCCGTAAAGAGCCAGGAACCATGCAAGTACTTTACATTTACATGTATTACCTCATATCATCTTCTCAACACTATGATGTAGGTACTTTTAAAAGTGAAGAAATGTAGGCTCAAAAAATGTAGCTTACAAAAAATAACCACATCTGACCATCTACAGAAGTTAAAGTCCTAACCACTACATAGTAGGTAACTTCTTTTTCTAGATTAACTTCTTGACAGAAAAATAATTAGGGGCACCTGGGTGATTCAGTCAATTGAGCATCTGACTTCAGCTCAGGTCATGATCTCACAGTTTGTGAGTTTGAGCCCCGCACTGTCAGCACAGAGCCTGGAGCCTACTTCAGGTTCTCTGTCTCTCTCTGGCCCTCCCCTGCTCACACTTGGTCTCTCTCCAAAATAAATAAACATTAAAAAAATTTAAAAAAGAAAAATAATTAAAGATTCAAAGTCTCTATGCTAATTATACCAGATGTTTTACAAACACACTAGATGTTCTAGTTACCACTAAACAGTGATTTAAAAGGAATTTTTAGAAGACAGTTGCAAAGACTTGGGCATCTGGGTGACTGAGTCGGTTGAGCGTCTGACTCTTGATTTTGGCTCAGGTCATTATCTCACGGTTGTCAGACTGAGTCACAAGTCAGGCTCCACACTGACAGTGCAGAGCCTGCTTGGGATTCTCTTTCTTTCTCTCTCTCTCTCTCTCTCTCTCTCTCTCTCAAAAAAAAAAAAAAACAAAACAAAAAACAACAACAAAAAAAGGCAGTTGCAGAGTATAGCCACCAAAATCAAAGTATAATAATATATGAATCAACGTCCTTCTACGGCTTCTTTTCCCCATTTAAAGCTGCATTTATATAAACATGCAATAAAACTACTATGTAGTATCACTTCATTTGCCATTCCAAGAACACAGAGCAGTATAACTTCAGGGTTAGTTCTCAGTCAACATATACAATAAAGTGTGGTGGAAATGAGATAACTCTATGATTATTAAACTACAGTTAGGGCTATCAGCACCTTGGAAGACAAGTAGTAAGCAAAACACCTGTAACAAACCAGAAAAATGGTCTACTGAGGAGAAAATGAAATTCAACCCAATGCTTATGTACTGGAATTTATCATTTACTGACCACTTTCCATATGCCAGGAAACTGTGCTACATATTGGGAATATAGAGCTAAAAACGTGAGATAAATGCTACAGTATATACACAGGCACGTATAAAAGGCTATGGGCACCTAATCTGAGGGGAGAGACAATGGGAAGAAAAAACGTCAGAGGTGGCTTCCTATTGAAAGTGGTATGTGAGCCAAGCCTTAAAGGATGGATAGGAAATGAGACAGGTGAAGAAAAGGAAAGAACAAGATGTACGAAGGCACAGAAACAAGAAAGCTCAACCCATTTAGAGAACTAAAAGAGTTTAACGTAAGATGCAGAAGGCAGATATTGGGAGTGAAGTGAAAGAGAAAAATGAGAAAAATAAGAAGGCCTACAAAGAGTCCTTCATGAGGGTGAATTTTATGTTAAAGCCAGTGAAGGAGGTTAAAGGTGAAACTGACATGAAGAGAATCAATTTTAACAGTAATCTAGGTTAAAAAAAAAAGAGATGAGGTTCAATACTAAGATGGTGGCAATGATGGACAAATACCAAGACGCCATAGAAACAGACACAGAGAATGAGGCAAAGGGAAACATCTACAATATTTCTAGTGTCATTAACTGAGTGAATGGTGATGCTGTGACTGAAGAGACAGAGGGCACTATCACTTTACCTTACAGTGATCATTAACTCCTATTCTTCAGGGATCAAGGAAAAGCTTTTAGGAGGAAATACCTAGGCATGGGATTTAAACGAACAGAAATTAAAAGAATGGTTTGGAGTTTGAAAGTCGGCAGTGAAGGGTAGGCAACAGTTAACGACAAAAGATGAGGCTAGAGTGGTCAGAAGATGCCAGATCAAGGTGCTCTGTGGCACAAAAACAGACATTCAGATCAATGAAACAGAACAGAGAACCCAGAAATGGACCCACAAAATTATGGCCAACTGATCTTCAACAAAGCAGGAGAGAATATCCAATGGAAAAGTGCTCTGAAGAAGTCCTCTTAGGGCGGTGACGCATCCATCTTAGCCCGGTGGCTCGGGTGGTTAAGCATCCAACTCTCGATTTTGGCTCAGGTCATGATCTCACAGTTTGTGGGATGGAGCCCCACATCAGGCTCCATGCTGACAGTGTGGGGCCTGCCTGGGATTCTCTCCCTCTGCCCCTCCCCTGTTTATGCTCTCTCTTTCTCAAAATAAATAAATAAACTTAAAAAAAATTTTTTTAAATAGTCATCTTGGGACTTTTGGATTTTATCATTCAAGTAACAGAAAGCTATGTTAGGGTGATAAGGAAGAGAACGAAAGGATCGTATTTTGCAAAAATGATTCTGATTGCAAAATGAAAACGAATTGGATTGCTGGACCAATGTTGAAAGGAGAGGTAGGGGTAAAAAATAACCCAAGTAAGAGATGACTAACCTGAGTTAGAATGGTGTCAGTGGGGACTTGCATAGGTGGATATAATTGAGATCTGGAAGGACTAGTGTCTTACAGGAGTGGGGTTAAAGCTAACACATACTGTATTCTATATAACCACTTTTCTACCCACTACCTTTTATCAAGCAACAAATTTACTGATTTACAAAAAGTTAACCGTTTGCTAAATTTAAAAAAATATCAATAGCTGAACGTTTCAATTCCAATTTACAAAAGCCCTCTGCTGCCCCCCAATCAGGAAAGGCTTGAAGATGGAGGTAGATTTTGAGATGGAATTTGAAAAATTATCACCTATTTTTGATGAAAAATAATAAAGAAAAATAAATGGAATCTTGATCTATAATATTAAGGATGATAATCAAAATTTGGCATGTGAAACTTAGAGAATGTTAATACAATTTACTAACAGAACACAGGAAAAGGCAAGGGGTGTGGATGTGGATGTGTGTGTGTAGACAGAAACAGACAGACTAGAATGGGAATAACAATAAATGTTTTGTGTTTTTAGTAAATATGGTTTTGAAAAGGCTGCATTAGAGGTTCCTGTGAAGCACTGAAGTACCAATATCAACTATGCAAGGATATGACATTCAAAACTGAGATACAAATATTTAATACTCAAGAGAAAAGTGTACTGGAGATCAAATCTTGGATGTCAGTAGCATGTATGTGGTAACTGAAATTCTAAGAGTAGCTAGTTTTCAAGAATATGTAGGGGAGGAAGTAAGATGGCCAAGACAGATCCTTAAAACACCTACATTTTACAAACTGGTAGAGTAAATAATGTCCACAGAAGAGACTGAGAAGATGAGCCAGAAGAGTTAAAATGAAAATTAGGATAACAAGGTATTTCAAAAGAAATAGGCAAGAAAGAGAACTGGGAAAAAATAAGAAGTCAACAATATTCAACGTTGCCAAGTTAAAGACTCAAATGTCTAGGACACTGAGCATCAAAAAGATAATGTTTAAAAGGCAATTTCACTTAAGAAAGGACAAAAGAGAAGTTGAGGCAGAAGAGACTGGCCCAAGTAAGTCTTTTGGGAAACCTGGTTAATAATGATGACAGAATATGGAGACGAGGGTAGAGATATATAATGGCAGCAGAGTTTTTTGTTTCATTTTGTTTTCTAAAAGGAAGGAATCAGTAAAGAACAAAGTCAACGATGTAAGATAAAGGAGTATCAGATAGAAGAGCTCCCTCATGTGGCCAGGGATGGGAATCAAAGCATAAGTGAAACACGACCTTCCAACAAAGGAGAGAAAGAATACATCCACAGAAAAATATCAAACGGGGATGGGTGGGTGTGTATTTTCTACTCATAAACTTAAGTTCCTGCAGAACAGAAAAATTATAGAAATTTCTATATAGAAATATAGAAATTATAGAAAAATTATAGAAGACCGTTTTAAAAATGGTCTTCTCTGTGGGATGGGATCATGGTCTATATTGTTTTATTATGTTTTCATATTTTCCCAGTTTTCTATCATAAGCATTTAATGATTTAAAAATGTCTTTGTCCCTTGAACTATAAATTCATCATTAATGCAGAAAATTCAGAAAATAAGTAAAAGCAGGAAGGGAATAAACAATACCTACAACTTACCAACGTATTGCTTTCACAGGTTAAAAAAATACGTCAGTTATATTACTTAACATTTTCTCAGAAAAAGGAACATTAATGGAAACACTGAATTGAAATAATCAAAACTGATAACTGACTCTATCATTCAGACATGAAGAAAGAGTGGATTCCAGTTTCCTCTTAGCTACCTAAATCTCTACTTTAAAAGAGGATTAATAAATCTCCACTTACAAAGGCAGAATTCAGATATCTGGAGATTATTAATTTAGTCATAAATTTCAATACTGCCTTCATTCCTGGCCATAACTACTTTTAGTATTTAAGTATTAGTTTAACTACAAATAACATCTATCACAAACATTCATGCTCATTGGCAACAATTAAAAAAAAAGTTAAAATGGAGGCTTACAGTTGTGGTAAATTTGGTCTAACAAAGGGATCATTCTCTGCTCCATTGACTGCTTTGTTTTTCCTTTGTTTTGGTTCAGAATTGGTAGAGGGTGCCTGAGAATTATTAGCTGTGGGAGGTTTGCGCTTGGCTAGAAGTTTCCTTTGCCTTTCAATATCTTCCCTTTGCTGATTCACCCATTCTTGTTGCCTGTATAAAAATAAATGTAAAAAACCGTATTTACTTTTTGTTTACTCTTCACAGTTAAAAGATGAAAATACGTTAATAAACATGAAAAAATCATTTAACAAATCATATAACATAAACATAAATTATGGTTCCACCTTTCTGAACTAACTTGTACTCACTTTCTAGGTCTAATTTGAAGCATTCATTTCTAAATTTCCTAAATCCCGTGAACTAGGGAAAGCTGTGTTGCCATATATAATCTCATGGTAGCTTGTAGATCTCCGCTTCCTTCTTTCTAATAAGCATCAATCCTACAGACATTTGATTAGAATGTCTCTAGTTAGACTACATTACTCCATGAGAACAGAGACTGCATCTATTTTCTACCCTATTGTATGTATCTCTGGTGCGACCACAATAATCAGCACATACTAGGTATTCAGTAAATATTTGCTGAATGACATAAATGGGCTATTAAAAAAAGAACAGAGGTAAGCACGGAGTATATTTTAAACATGCATCTGATCACTTACTGTTTGTAGAAAAACTTACAAAAGACAAATATCAATTTTTTTTTCCAACGTTTATTTATTTTTGGGACAGAGAGAGACAGAGCACGAACGGGGGAGGGGCAGAGAGAGAGGGAGACACAGAATCGGAAACAGGCTCCAGGCTCTGAGCCATCAGCCCAGCGCCCGACGCGGGGCTCGAACTCACGGACCGCGAGATTGTGGCCTGAGCTGAAGTCGGACGCCCAACCGACTGCACCACCCAGGCGCCCCAAATATGAATTTTTTAAATGTGTAATATTATTTATTTTCCATAATGTATTTATTTTTTTATAATTTACATCTATGTTAGCACACGGTGCAACAATGATATCAGGAGTAGATTCCTTAATGCCCCTTATCCATAATTTAGCCCATCCCCCCCCCCAACCCCTCCAGCAACCCTGTTTGTTCTCTGTATTTAAGAGTCTCTTATGTTTTGTCCCCCTCCCTGTTTTTATATTATTTTTGCTTCCCTTCCCTTATATTCATCTGTTTTGTATCTTAAAGTCCTCATATGAATGAAGCCATATACTTGTCTTTTCTGACTAATGTCGCACAATACCCTCTAGTTCCATCCACCTAGTTGCAAATGGCAAGATTTCATTCTTTTTTATTGCCATCATCCGTTGATGGACATTTGGGCTCTTTCCATACTTTGGCTATTGTCAATAGCACTGCTATATACACTGGGGTGCACGTGTCCCTTCGAAACAGCACACCTGCATCCCCTGGATAAACACCTAGTTGTGCAATTGCTGGGTCGTAGGGTGGTTCTATTTTTAATTTCTTGAGGAAACTCCATACTGTTTTCCAGAGTGGCTGCACCAGTTTGCATTCCACAAATATTAATTTAATAAAGTGTTATTTTCTAACTTTATCTCTGTTAAGAAGATTTGGGGAATGTGCAAGTGCTATCTTGAAACAAAAATTGATCTGAATATGAGAAATTTAAGAAGAGGTGAGCCTGGGTGGCTCAGTCAATTAAGCATCTGACTATCTGATGCTTGATTTCTGCTCAGGTCATGATCCCAGGGTTGTGGGATGAAGCCCTGCATCGGGCTCTGCGCTGAGCATGGCGCCTGCTTGAGAGTCTCTCTCTCCCTCTCCCCACATGCACACCCACGACTGCTCTCTCTTTCTCTCTGCCCCCCACCCCGCCCCGACACACACAGTTTAAGACATTTATGAAGAAAGAGGAAATTTTCACTACCTGAAGGAAACAAAAATTAGCATGGCTTTAAAGAATGAGCAATTAATAAAAGTAAATAAATATTACTGTTTCCCATTCAAGAATCTAAAGCTTACTAATTGTAAAAAACTACTAAATATCATGTCTACTATAAAAACACATGTTAGAGATTTCAGCAATCTGACCAGAGCAAGAGTAGGTTAACAGTGAAGCTTTTTTTTTTTAACGTTTATTTTTGAGATGGGGGAGGGGCAGAGAAAGAGGGAAACACAGAAACCGAAGCAGGCTCCAGGCTCTGAGCTGTCAGCAGAGCCCAAAACGCAGGGCTTGAACCCATGAACCGTGAGATCAAGAGCTGAGCCAAAGTTGGATGCTTAACTGACAGAGCCGCCCAGGCAAACTTGTTCTCAAAGTAACCGGTTCCCTTTTAGGTCACCTCAACACGCTAAGAAAAAGTTTTAAAAACGCTACATGGTTATAAGACTAAGATTTAAAACAAGACAAATGTTTCAATTCCTTGGCTCCCCACCCCCACTCAAACCAGAACTACAGAACTTCTACTCTGCTGATGCAAAACTGACTTCATGCACACTGCCTTTTCCTATGGTTCTAGCCAGATGGTAGTAGAATATGACCAGAATGAAAGAATCACTAACCACCCACAGAGAAGAGTAAAAGGGTGGAGAAAATTCAAGAATAGCAAAGCTAGAACAGGACTTTAATCCAGTTTCCATTTGGAAGTAGGAATAACTTATTTAAAAAGTTAACTTTTAAAGCTACTTTAGAACACAATCAATGGCACAAAAACAGACACATAGACCAATGGAATAGAACAGAAACCCCAGAACTAGACCCACAAACGTATGGCCAACTCATCTTTGACAAAGCAGGAAAGAACATCCAATGGAAAAAAGACAGTCTCTTTAACAAATGGTGCTGGGAGAACTTCGGACAGCAACATGCAGAAGGTTGGTGAGTCCAGACCATCTTTCTCACACCACAAAAATAAACTCGTGCCTCAGATAAAGGACCTTGAATGTGAGGCATTAAAACCATCAAAACCTTAGAGGAGAAAGCAGAAAAAAGACCTTCTGACCAAATGTTTAGGGCAATCTTCTTCATCGGACACATCCCTAAAGGCAAGGGAATTAAAAGCAAAAGTGAATTACTGGGACCTTATGATAAAAAGCTTCTGCACAAAGGAAACAACCAACAAAATAAAAAAGGCAACCACGGACGGGGAAAAGATATTTGCAAATGACATATCGGACAAGGGCTAGTATCCAAAAATCTATAAAGAGCTCACCAAACTCCACACACCAAAAGCAAATAACCCAGTGAAGAAATGGCAGAAAACATGAATAGACACTTTCTAAAGACATGCGGATGGCTAACAGGCACATGAAAAGATAAAACCGCCGCCTTATCAGGGAAATACAAATCAAAACCACACTCAGGTATCACCACGCCAGTCAGAGTGGCCAAAATGAACAAATCAGAGAGACTATAGATGCTGGAGATAGATGTGGAGAACGGGAACCCTTGCACTGTTGGTGGAATGCACCGGTGCAGCCAGCTCTGGAAAGCAGTGTGGAGGTTCCTGAAAATTAAAATAGATCTACCCCATGACCCAAAGTTAAATAGTTAATTGCTAGAATTTATATCCAAGGGACACAGGAGAGCTCGATGCATAGGGGCACTTGTACCCCAAATGTTCATAGCAGCACTCTCAACAATAGCCAAATTATGGAAAGAGCCTAAATGTCCATCAACTGATGAATGGATAAAGAAAATTGTAGTTTATATACACAATGGAGTACTATGTGGCAAATGAGAAAAAAACAATATGGCCTTTGTAGCAACGCTATGGATGGAACCTGGAGAGCGTGATGCCAAGTGAACAGTTTCATACAGAGAAAAGACATGATACCATAAAGCATATGGTTTCACTTCCCGTAGGATCCTGAGAAACTTAACAGAACCCATGGGGGGAAGAGGGAAGGAAAAAAAAAAAAAGAGGTTAGAGTGGGAGAGAGCCAAAGCATAAGAGACTGTTGAGAACTGAGAACAAACTGAGGGTTGAGGGGGGTGGGGAGGAGGAGAGGGTGGGTGATGGGTATTGAGGAGGGCACCTTTTGGGATGAGCACTGGGTGTTGTATGGAAACCAATTTGACAATAAATTTCACATATATATAAAAAAAAAAAAAAGAACACAATCAAGATGTTATAAATGAAAATAAACAGCAATAACCCTACTGATCAAAATCCTAACGGAAAGTAAAGAATTACTGGAATGAATATATAGCAAATATCTGATTATTCAGGAATGACTACACATTTTAGAGATTAATTTAACATTACTAATATTTATTTCTCTTATCTGTCAACTACTTTGGGTTCTATCACTGATAAACTACTTGATACACACTGATAAGTAACTTGATATAAGGTATGTATAAAAATACACAGTAGGCCCTCAATTCAAGAAATGCAAGTAATTTTTTAAAAACTAGATTACTTACTTATCATAAAAAGGCACAAAGCAAGAACAGCCAGACTGAAGAGGTGCATAGGGCAAGGCACAAGGGAAGGGCACAGAGCTTCCAACGCCCTCTCCATTTGCACCACTCTCCCCAGACTTCCACGTGTTCACCAACCCGGAAGCCCCAATTTTGCTCTTTTTTGATAGCTCAGTGAAGAAATTTTAACTACTAACAGAGCTTGTGTTTTAGATTTATATTTAAGGTTATACACTGTAACTTATTTTATTCATTACCAGGACAACTGTAGGTCTGGGTTTAGCAGCTGAGGTTCTTGCTTTTAAAATACTCAAAAATCATGGTTTCTACCTCAAACGTATCTCTAGTTTCACTGTCAATATTTTAGCTCAAACCTAATCATCTTTCATTTGGAGACCTCTTCCCATCTTAGCTGTCAACAATTTATCTTCTTTCCAACATTCCCATATTATCATGAGTTATCTTTCTAAAACTCAATTCTGACCACACACACTACAGACAAACCTTTAATAGCTCCATATTATCCACAGAATTAAAAGCCAAAATCTCTAGCATCACAAGAACAACATCCTTCATTATGGTACACCTTTCACCCAGCACAGCTGGTGCTGAACAAAAGCTGAAGAAATCAACTGAGATAGAGAAGGCCATTCTGTGCTAAGTCCTGGGAACCAGTGTTTAAAACAGCGATGTTTATATAATACGGGAGATACAGCTTTGCCTCCATTTTGCACATAACTGAACGAGTTCTAGGAAATCTGATGTAGATGCTGCCACTACTCCTGCTTTGCAGGTTTTAAATTTTTTCCGGCAAAAAAAAAAGGGGGGGGGCAGCATAGGTCTTGGCTTCTTAACAGAGTCAATCATCTAAACTCAATAACTTCTCTGTTTTAAAGTTTACCTCAGAAACACTAAAGCCACATGTTCAGTTCAACTGATTTAGAATTATTGTATCTAAAACAGAACAGAAAAAGTTCTTGTCTTTTCCATAGGAACAGAGAGCAGACAAGGGCTGAATACTAAGACTAAAGTAAGGATTGGAGAATGGGGGGAAAAAGCTAAGTAGGCAAATCCCAAGATATGTATACATATAGATGTAAATCTTCCAATGACAATTACAGTTCCCTCCCAAATCATCTATAAAGCTGGAAGGTCAGTTTATATTTTGGAAAGTCATGTTTAGAATAATACATCATGCTGTATGGATGAATGCTAACTAATCAAGAAATTTGCTAAAGCTGAAATTGTAATACTTGTGTTTTATGTTCCTTTCAAATGTACTAAATTCTGTGATTTCAAATAGTAAGGAGTAGATGTAGAACACAATTCCAAATGTACAATCTTTGCAAGTAATAAAAACTCAAAGGAACACTACATTATTTAAAATGTAAGAATGACTAACTTCACGAGATTCTGAAACGCAAAACCATCTGTCCATTGTTCAGTAAATGAAGCACCATGTCTAACTGTTGTGAAGTGCCCAAGGCGTAATCTGTCTTGCATACTCTTCTCTCGGCTTGACAGTTTTTCTTGCGTACTCTGGAAGGAGAAGGAAAATATCATCAATTTTATTTATTTAAAATTTAAAACTGTACAAGGCAAAAAAGGGGTCAAGCGGAATGAAAAGGAAACAAATCACCTACCTTTTCAATAAGCAGTTTTTTGCTCATTGATATGCACTTATTTAATCGTTCTTTGTATTTTTCAAGTAATTTTTGTTGTTCATCTATTTGCCGTCTGAGATCACAATTAGCCTACAAAATAAGGAGAAAATGGAAAAGGTCTAGAATTTGTGTATATGAGACACTGATGAATATTTTTAACATTCTGAATAAAGTATATAAAAAGAAAGGGTTAATTAAGGATTTGAGTATGATACTAAAAATTTTTTTTTCAACATCTACTTATTGTGGCATAATACCGTTAAATGTTGCTTAACTGTGCAGTGAAAAGTACATGGAATTTGTATCCATATTCCATGGTTCAAATCCACATCCTAAGGTATATAACCTTGGCTAAGTTCAGTCAGTTACCTGAACCTTAGTTTATTTCTTTTGTATTTCTAAAATAGGGGCAATACTATCTATCTCACTTAGCTAAAAATAACTAAATATATGTATATAAAATGAATAACACTTAAAAATGAATGTAAGTTCTCTTCCATCTTTTGTAACTGATAAAACTGTTTTCTCCATTAAACTTGGGGCTGACACTACTGATGCCTACCCAATAGCTAACTATTTCCACCATCTTTCTTGGCAATAAGATACCCATTTTGCTGACTTTCTAGGCAGCCATATGCTCATGCAAAAGCCTTTATATAAACTCAGGAGATGAGTCAGATTAGTCTAGGATAACGACAGAATAACCTGGAGGGCTTGTTAGAATACAGACTGCTGGGTGGGACACACTCCCCAAGTTTCTATATAAGTCAGTCTGGAGTAGGGTCTGAAAATTATTTCTTTCTTTAAAAAATTTTTTTTAATGCTTATTTATTTTTGAAAGAGACAGAGACAGAATGCGAGTGGTTTGGGGCAGAGAGAAAGGGAGGCACAGAATTTGAAGCAGGCTCCAGGCTCCGAGCTGTCAGCACAGAGCCCGACGCGGGGCTCGAACTCATGAGCTGTGAGATCACGACCTGAGCCGAAGCCAGACGCTCAACCGACTGAGCCACCCAGGCACCCCTGAAAATTATTTCTAATAAATTCCACAGGATGCTGATGCTTCTGGTCTGGGAATCATACTTTGAGAACCACAGTTCTAGGCCAATCATGGTAGAAGCCAAAAGACATAATATATCGAAGATGCTAGGAGAAAAGAGCTACCAATCTGAAATTATATACCTAATAAAATTATTTTTCAAGGAAAAGGGTAAAATAAAGAGATTCTCAGAGGAACACAAATGGAAGTCAGTACCAAGAAACCCTCCTCATTAGGCACAATTCAAACAAACTGTGGTGTGTGTGTGTGTGTGTGTGTGTGTGTGTGTGTGTGTTCAAAATTTGATTCTAACATTTCTCTAAAACTACAAAAGGCCAAAAATAGCGAAAAAGAAAGGATATTTCTTCAATCACAAATCAAGATTTAATATAAAGCTACAGCAATTATGATCACCCAAATCCATTTTCTCTTTCTTTATTAGCAACGAAAGCTTACGTTTTATTCTGGATTGATATGTACCTAGCTAACCTATCGTAACTATGAGACTCTAATAAATATTTTACACCTTGATATGACCTTCAAGATAAAAGCCATACACTAAGGATAAAGGAATAAAAAACTGAAGGAGTCAAGATCCCATAAGACACTATGAAGACATCACCAGTTCTGTGATGACAGAACCAGTTCTGTTCTCCTCTCAAAAACTAATATTGTATCTCATTTAAACTATTGCTGTTTATGTTCTCTGGTACTAACAAAGGCAATTGCTAAATGATAAAAGATGCTATACCAGTGTAGGAATACACAAACAGAACATGGAACACAGCAGAGAATACAGAAATAGATCCACTTGTATATGGAACATAGATTACATGACGGAACTGGCAGGAAAGAGTGGAGTTTCAATTAAATGAGCTGGGCAACTGATTATCTATATAGAAAGAAAATAAAATGAAACCTTATTTACACCATACCGAAAAACAAATTCCAGTGAGATTAACAACTTGTCTTGAAAACCCAGACTACAAAGGTTTTAAAAGAAAATATAGAGGGATATCTTTATGATATTAGAAATTAAAAAAAAAAATTAGTTCTTTCGGTATACCTTTGATAATAACTTGGTACAAACATAAACTACAAACAAAAAGATGTACTTAATCATATAAAATTTTTAAATGCATCTAATCATCAAAAGACAGCATGAAGAAATAAAGAGGCAATTTGCACACTGGGAGAAAATCAATATATATGAACAACAAGAAACTGACATCAATAAAAAAAAGATAGCAACCCACTAAGAAAAAATGAGCAAAAAACATCAGTTATTTCACAGAAGAAACAGTTAATAAATATTTTAAAAGATGATAAAAGAGAATGCACAATAAAAGACACCTTGTTTCCCTCTATCAAATTGGCCAAAAAAATTTCTTATATCTGATTATAATAAGCCTTGACAAAGATAATAAGCACCAAGATTATTTCTTGCCCACTGCCAGTAGGAGTGTAAACTAATCCAACCACTTTGGGAAAAATTTGGCATCATTATAAAGCAAAATTGAAGATGCGCATGCCATGTACTCTGGCCACATCTCTCTTAAGCATATAACGTAAGACAAATTTTTCCACATTTGCGCTAGAAGACATGTATTAGAATGTTGTTAGCAGGACCATTCGTATTAGCAAAAAAGTAGAAACAAAATGTCTACCAACAGCAAAAAGATGTATTATGGTATATTCATATAAAACCTTACTATATAACATGAAACAAAGTACATGACAATTCCACATTTAATGTTTAGTGAAAACAAGCAGGGCAAAAGGGTACATACAGCGTAATTTTTTTAAAATGTTTTTATTTATATTTGTGAGAGAGACGGAGCAAATGGGAGAATGGCAGAGAGAGGGAGGGAGACACAGAATCCGAAGCAGGCTCCAGGCTCTGAGCTGTCAGCACACAACCCAACGCGGGACTCGAACCCATGAGCCATGAGACAATGACCTGAGCTGAAGTCGGACGCTCAACCAACTGAGCCACCCAGGTGTCCTCAGCGTAATTTTATGCAAAGTTCAAAAAAACCCTGAAATATGTTGTTAAGAATGTATAGATACATGTGATAAAACCATAAAGAAACACAAAGGCATAATAAATACAAAACTTAGTAGGTAATGGTAAAGGGATGTGAGAAGTGACTGGGATAGGATCAGGAAAAGGCAAGCTGGGAGTTTCAAACGTATAGATCATTATGGTTAAGACCACAGGTGTTGATTTCACTGAGTTTCTATACCACCAGTTCTTAATGCTGGCTTAAATTATAATTATCTGGAGGAGTTTTTAAAACTACCAATGCCGAACCCCTGACCTCACATCAACTTAATCAGAACCCCTCAGGTTGGAGTTTAGGCATGGCCACCTTTATAAAGTGCCTCCCACCTTTCCCATTTGGTAATTCTAATGAGCATCATGGAGTGAGAACCACTGCTTCATACCTTACTCACATTATAATACTTTCTGATGTGTCTTTTTGCAAGGTTTCCATTAAAAATTTCACAGGATTGCAGCAGTTACTTCATCTTATATAATACCAAATATCAGAGGGTTTAAGACAAAATCAATTACACCCTTAAAACTAACACAAAATGGCTATCTGTCTTATGATAGTTGATCAAATAAAAATAAATTTTATAAACTTCCCTCTATTTCTCCAACTGTTTCTCAATTCACATTTAAAGAACTAATAATTTGCACTTTAAAATAGTTATTTTCATGTACTTAAAACTACCAGAAAAAGCTTATTCTTCTCAGCTATAGAATTTTTTTTACGTTGCTAAGTATTTCCTCAACTTTTACTATTGCCAAATAATTCACTCAATTTTCCCTCTATGACTTATTACTTACCCTGAGCAAGTCATCTATACGACCCTCCTTCTTTTCCAGGTCCTGGTTTTTATTACTTTCTAATGCTGCTAATTTCAGCATTGTGAGATCAGTCTAAATGAAAGAAAACTATTTGATTATCTTCATTATATATATCACTGCATGCAAATATAAACTAGATTTTACTCTGATTCTAAAAAGCAAAGAAAATATTTGAGTTTGTGTTCATAAAAGTTATCCCAAAAGTCTTAGTACAGTTTTAAGTTTTAATATCTTCAGAAGTATAACTTCTACAAGGTTACAAATATTTAAAAGACTGATTACTAAAAGTTTTAGAATATTGTTACGTTCTTCATTAAAATTCAATATAACCACTGCTTTGTGCTATCAACTCTAGCTGACTTTTGAACATGGCAAAAACTTTCATGAACTATTCATTGACTGAAAGCAATGAATAGCCTGAAGTTTTGATGCATGTGCAACAATTTGCACATGACCTAACAGAAAAGTCTAATGGCAATAAATTGGGTAATAAAGATGGCTAAGCAAAAACATCTACTCTTCAAATCCCTGTGGTTTGAGACAGTATCATCCCCAAACTGTCATACGTAAAAAGTTAAAATGAAAAACTTAGTAATCAAAATTCATAAAACCAAATAAGCATAAAAGATATCTAATATTCAATTTTCAAATATTTTAAGTATATAGCACATATATAAATTTATGTATAAATTTATTATATATTTATTAATTTATTATATATTTATTTATTTATCATATATGTATAATTTTTATAAATTTATATATAAATTATATAAATTTATACATATATATATAAATTTATATACATACATATATATGTATGTATATAAATACATACACCCAAAATGAACACCTTTTATGTCCACGTATGACAAATGTAATAGCTTCAGGAAGACGATGATTATATTTATTTGGATGGTATGTTCAAAAAAAAAAAATCAGTAAACAAAATTGACATGTTATGGTTGTTCTATTTAATATGCTTAAACATCTAGATATTTTTAAAAAGTTTTTAATGTTTATTTATCTTGAGAGAGAGAAAGAGAGAGCGAGAGAGAGAGAGAGCACGCGCGCAGGGGAGAGGCAGAGAGAGAGGGGGAGAGAGAGAGAAAGAATCCCAAGCAGGCTCCGCACTGCCAGCACCGCAAACTCACAAACCATGAGATCATGTACCTGAACTAAAATCAAGAGTCAGACACTTAACCGACTGAGCCACCCAGGTGCCCCAAAACATCTACATATTTAACCAGCATGTAACAAAGGACAAGCTGATACTAAACTGGGTGTTTCAATTTCTCACCCCCTACAAACTACTTTTTTGTCTAGTAATTAGCTTTCTTGATGTATAATTTTACTTTATGACTATGTCCACTAGTTTCTACATTATACTAAGTTTCTTATAAGTCACTAGTTTCTTACAAATCACACAAAGAAATTTCAATTACTATTTACCTGAGTAATTTTAAAGGATAACTGCTTTGGTTGTAAAATAGGGTGGTCCCCAAAAGCTAATGCAGTAGGAGAAGGGCTATTCGGTCGAACCTTAAAAAAAAATATTAAAATTTTTACATTAGCAAGAAGAAAATAGGCTTCTCCTCAGCAACAACTACTTAACACCTCCTATGTTTTTATCAGGATAATAACTGAATTAAAACATAATTGACTTTTTAAAACTTTTTATCACTGTTTATTCAGTTAGCATTCATTTTTAGAGTACCCTCCCTTACATAAAGGTGCAATGAAAGAGACAACCATATACTCCCTGCCCTCAAGAAGCTTATATCCTAGAACCATCAAAAACATTTTAATGCTTTCAATCTGTTAAACAAGGCCAAATACATTATTTCAAAACAAAAATATTAAAAACAGATGACGATGGCTCAAAAAGTAAAACTGAGAAGATCTTAATATAGAATTCTTATCAATAGGGACAATAATGCATGCCCATATATAGTATAATATCAATTTACTGTTGAGTTTCATGGTTTATCTAGTGACTAGTTTTAAAACACATCATTGAAAACAGATATCATTGTATCACTGCTATCACTACGACTCAAAATTATTGAGTCTTATAGTTTATTTTGCATATTACAATATAATGTGTCCAAGGTACAAAATAAGTAAGATACAACTAATTATATGTCTACCAGCAAGGACCAGAAGGGAACACTGGAAATAAAAACAAGGTATTTGAATAAATAAGAGATACTTTGATTTTAAAAAACCTTCAATTCATTTTTAAATTACTGAGAGCCAACACTGCTTTTCTGGTTAGACATTAAACTTTCATATAATGAAAGATAAGGAAAAATGAAATCCAATATGCAAAACAATGCATATAAAAAGGACTAGGACTTAAATACACTAGAAACAAACCAAGAAGTTGTAAGATAATTTTTAGATCCAAGATTCTTCTCCTATGCTGAAATAAAATGGTCCAAGGCTAAAGGCTGCCTACCTTTGTCTAGAAAGGAATCATGCTATCACTTTAGTGGTTAAGAAATTTAATTTCTAAGAGAATTAGAAATTAGAAATCAGTAACTGAATATGGACCAATACAAGAGTATTCATTGTAGTCCCCTAAGTTTGACAGCATTCTTTTATAGAAACATTACTTCTTGGATATAATCAATTCAGGAAATCTTTAACTTAAGGATCTCACTTTGAGAAATAACGTTCTAACAGCATCAAATCATTAAAAAGAATTTAACCTACCTCACAAAATAATTTTCTTAGAAGATAAATACAAATAAATATATATAGAAGTTCTCAATGAAAAGATATTCAGTATACATACATACATATGTTAGTAGATTTAAGACTCCCTACACATGTCAAAACTTACAGATGAGGAAGGAGTGGAATGTGAATGCGAATTTTGAGGAGAACGGATCGCAGGAGGTATGCCTCTTACTGGACTTGAGCCATTCCCACCTTGGTACTAAGAAAAAAAAGAAGACACTTTATGAAAATAGGTTTAGACAGATGTTATTTTAGACATGATATTAATAATTAATTTAAATATATTGTCTTTTAAATTAAATTCAGTAGTGATTTAAATGGGTCAAGAAAAAGCAAAACTAAGGTTAGTTACAGCCAAGTCCTAAAAGACTAAAGAGAGAATACTGATCACAAGAATATGAAAAGACTATGTTTAGCAAAGACCCTTATTTTTTTTTAACATTCTGGTTTTAATTTGTTACTGCAGCAGACTCAAAAATTCCCCCCCTCCCCAACAATGAACATATACTATTTTTCCTTCAAATTTTAATAGTTCCTTATAAATGTTTGTTGAATGGGTATAATCCCTAACACCCCCAAATTAACATATTTACAAGTAGAAGTTAGTGAATGTAATAAGCCATCTTAAAACAGAATCAACATTCTCTAGATCTGTTAAAAATCCAAATGTTTGTAGCACTTAATATAAAAAGTTACACAGACAAAGTCTCTTCTGTTTAACAGCACAAAATCTAATAAAAATCAATCCTTTCTTTCATGCATGAGATGAATTACAGTGCATGACTTAGGTGCCTATGAAGAGAAGCCTCCAAATCTATTCCACAGCTGCCTTTCTCACTTCTCTACCAAGAATGGGAAGAGAAAACTGCTACTGGATTCCTCTCAGGGTTTTAGGAGAAGAGCAGAGATGGGGACCTCCTAGCATGTCTTCCAGCAACCTAGGGACTTGGTCTGATTTATTTTTTACTCTACAGTGACTAGCAGAACTAGTGGCACATGAGGAATATTCAACAGACTCGAAATTTGTTGATTTGAATTGATCCAACCTTTGGCAAAGATTCTTATTAACACTGAGGGACTGACCTTAACTAAAGAGCACTAGGTTAGCAATACAAGACCGTGGTCAGCAATAGTTTTACCTTAGATTCTGTAAATCCAATTAAGAAACACAATGGATGGTTAAAAAAAAAAAAAAAAAAAAAAAAAAAAAAAAAAAAAAAAAGCTTTTAATGCAGCCCTTCCCCTAACTGGCAAATTCTGCTCTCACACTCAAGTAAATATAAGCATTTTTCAACTGAGTAGATCATGTTTGTTGTTTTAACAATCATATTAATGTACTGTAATGTAAAACTGGTAGCCAAAAGTATTTCTGTGTAAAAGAATAAGGTAATATTCTAAACTGGGTAAGAATCTAAATTTATCACATTTATTATTTTCAGGGGCTCTTAGATTCACATTTCTATTATTTAACTTCCATCTACAGGGCTCAAATGTTGCTATGGTGCCATAAAGGCTGCACTGACAGCAGAAACAATTCTAAACTAGAGGTTATTCAAGTTCTCTCTTTGCACTTCCATTTAGAATTTGACTTTAAATAGGCTACTTTACATGTCTGGTCCTCAGTTTCCTCATCTGTAATATAGAAACCCTAATATCTCCTGTGCCTATCTCCTGGGCTGTTATATAAGCAAGTATGTGAGGAAGTACTTTGAAAATTACAACAAGAATATATGAATATAAAAGTAAATTTTAATGTTCCTAGGAAGACAGGACATTACATAGTACTGACACTCTGCTCTAATCACAAAGATAATCAAATGTTGAACTTGTACTTCAAAGAAATTATTTCAGCCCATACCAAAATAATATTAAGAACTGGAGGTATTTATCAATAAACTTACTTCAAAATAGTCGCTAATTTTGTGGCCACGCCCCCCAATACTTTTTCCTAGAATATAAAAGTAAAAAACTGTTACAGATCTGGTCATGACTACCTATCATACTATATCAGAAAAAGAATGTGTCAAACTTGATTTTGCTAATACACATAAAAATCATCTGCTTAATAAAAAGAACATGATATTTTAGTTGGGTAGTGATAGACATTGAAAGAATTATATTAAGAATCCTCAGAGGGTAAGATGCCAACTTCAGAAATCCAAAAATCAAATGACATTTCAATAGAAACATGTCAATTTTTAAAGTCTCAATTACTGGAGAACCACATATATAAATGACATTAAAGGATTTTGTTTTTAAAACTACATTATTCATATTGCTTAATGACTGCTAATTTCATAAAAGCAAATCAATGAATTAAAAAAAAAAACCAGGTCGCAACTGTATAACTAACAAACCAATTCATACCTGTAAATAATATAAAAGCTTTGGTTAACACAAAACCATAACAAACTGACAATAACAAGCTTTAATATGAACGTTATTTTGTAAAAGTTTGGATTTTCTAAAAAAAGTATTCCCGGGGTGGGTGGGTGGCTCAGTCGGTTAAACATCCAGCTTCTTGATTTCGGCTAAGGTCACGATCTCACCGTTTACTGGTTCAAGCCCGCATCAGACTTCCCACTGGCAGTGTGGAGCCTGCGTGAGATTCTCTCTCTGCCTGCTCACACACCCTCTGTCTCTCTCAATAAACAAAATAAACTTGAAAAAAAAAAAGTATCCCCAAATCAAATCAACAGGATGTTCTTCTTTTTTTTTTTTTTTAAGTTTATTTATTTTCAGAGAGAGAGAGAGAGAAAGAGTGTGTTTGCACACAAGCAGGGAAGGGGCAGAAAGACAGGGAGAGAGAAAATCTCAAGCAGGCTCTGCATTGTCAGTGCAATGCCAGACGCGGAGCTCAATCTTACAACACATGAGATCATGACTAAGCCAAAACCAAGAGTCAGATGCTTAAATAACTGAGCCACCCCAGGCACTCCTGTGTGTTTTTCTTTAAGTTTATTTTGAGAGAGAGAGAAAGAGCGTGCACACATGCAGGGGCGTGGCGGAGAGAAAGAGGGGGGGCTGAAACTCCAAAGCTGGTTCCATGCTGTCAGTGCAGAGCCTGATGTGAGGCTTGATCTCACCAACCATGAGATCAAGAACTGAAATCAAGAGTTGGACCCTTAATCAACTGAGCCAGCTAGGTGCCCCTAGAGGATGTTTTTTAATAAACTAGATTTTAAATATTGCTCTTATGACCATATTGATAAAGTGGTCCAAATCATTACATATCACAGTTCTTTGATTAAAAGTTTTGCTCTAAAAAGAATCAATTTTATAAATCCTGAATTAAGGGCAGGGGATAGGCTAAATGGGTGATGGGGATTAAGGAGGGCACTTGTGAAGAGTACTGGGCTGTTATATGTAAGTGATGAATCACTAAATTCGACACCTGAAATCAATTTTAATATATATGTTAACTAATTAGAATTTAAATAAAAACTTAAAATAAAAAAAAAATATTGAATTAAGAAGGTGCTAAGAAATACTGTGTTTAAAGATACTTTTTTGGATAAGAGGCACCCACCCTTCATTGGAACTATACAGAATACAGGATTTCTTCAATACAAATAAAACCTGATGACACCATGAAGTCAAAAGCTTCGGATAATATAAACACACACATTTATCAATTTAACACTGACTTATATTAATTTATTCATTTATTTTATTTATATAACAAATATTTGAAGTGGTTACTATGTGCCAGGCACTACTGAGATGAACAAAGGTTACATTTTAAGGGGTGCCTGGGTGGCTCAGTCAGTTGAGCATTCAACTCATGATTTTGGCTCAGGTCATGATCCCAGGGTCGTGAGATCAAGCCCTGCATCAGGCTCCACACTAAGCATAGAATCTACTTAAGATTCTCTCTTTCCTTCTTCCCTCTCCCTGGCTTGATCTCTCTCTCTCTCTCTTTTTCCCTCTCTCCCTCTCTCTCTCTTTTTCCCTCTCTCCCTCATAAACAAATCAATCAATCAATCAATCAATCAATAAGATTTTAAAGTTCAGCAACCTTAAATTCTTTTTTATTTTTTAATGTGTATTTATTTTTGAGAGAGAGAGAGAGCGAGCGAGCATTGGAGAGGAGCAGAGAGAGAGGGGGACAAAGGATCCGAAGCGGGCTCTAAGCTGACAGCAGAGAGTCCATTGTGGGGCTCAAACTCAACAAACCGTGATATCATGACCTGAGCTGAAGTCAAATGCTCAACTGACTGAGCCACCCACGTGACCTAACAACCTTAAATTCTTTTGTTTAACAAGAAAAACTAAGTACTCACAACTATAAACGCTACCTAGAAAGTTTGAACAATAGTTTTATACAGATTTATTTAGAGGTCGGAAAGGAATGTGAAAGGTTTTACAGGCATACCTTGTTTCATTGCACTTCACTGATACCGTGCTTGTGTGTGTGTGTGTGTGTGTGTGTGTGTGTGTGTGTGTGTGTGTGTGTTTAAACACAAATTGAAGGGTCTATGGCAACCTTGCACTGAGCAAGTCTATAGGCACTGTTTTTCCAATAGATAGCATTTGTTCACTTTATGTCTCTGTGTCACACTTTGGTAATTCTTGCAATATTTCAAGCTTTTTCATTATTATTATATTTGTTATGGCAAATAATCACTGTTATCAGTGATTACAACTCACTGAAAGCTCAGATGACAGCATTTTTTAGCAATGTTTTTAAATTAAGAAATGCATGATGCTTTTTAGACATAATGCTATTGCATGCTTAATAGACTATGGTATAGTATAAATATACTTTTATATACCCTGAGAATCCAAAAAATTCATTTAACTTGTTTACTGTGATATTTGCTTTATTGTGATGGTCTAGAACCAAACCTGAAGTATCTCTAAGGTATGCCTGTATAACCCAAGGAATTTTCCTTCTGCCTATAACAACTTTCCTGCAGATTCTGAAGGTGCTATCCTTTGATGAAGACAGAGACATTTTTGGTTATCTATCCAGAAGCTATTTCCCTAATCCTTTTTCCCTAACTGAACACAAATTTTGCTCTGTTAACATTCCCTCCCCTACATAGCACATGTAATTTCAGAAGAAGCTGACTCCTGTCTGGCCTCCATCCTAATTTCCCCCCCCACTACTGATCAGAAATCCAATTTTGTTCAGGTATCGTCCCCTCTCCACAAAGCCTTCATTTCTAAAAGGAATTTTACCCACTTTCAATTTCAGAGATGGACCTGATTTTTGTAAGGGCAATAGTATGTCTATGGACATAACTGGGTTTGGAATGGACTCATGATCCAATTCTGGCTGACCAGATTATAAGAGAAGTTTGCTCTGGACTTGAAGAAGCTAACGTTCAAAGAAAGGGGAAAAACATAGAAAGCCAACTCTCTCTAAAGCAAATACAAGTGTGAAAGCTGAAGCAAGTAAATCCAATCAAAATTGGCAACCATTCTAAAACCGTAAGGAAACCAGACAATTCTGTGGATAGCAGACCACAAAGAAATAAACATGGATTCTTAAAAACATAGGATCTGGGTTGGATCAACCACCCCAGAAGTCCCACCCTAATTTGGGACCTGCTTTTAAGTGAGTTTTTAAAACTAGAGTTGAAACTATCATAACTAATGTATCTTTACACTAAATCAAACTCCCAAGTCCACTAATCACAAGCTGGTGGAACTACACCAAGACCAAAAACAAGCTCAGAGCAGACTGAGATACAAAGTACCACACGTCTACAGAAAGATGCTAGAGTGGTTTAACTCCTTCCTTCCACACAGACAGTTGCTTCAAGTACATTTCTTGATGCCAGTGCCACATGTAAATACTAGATTACCACATGTTCGTGGCCTTAAGTCTTTACAGCTAAAGTAAGTGGCTCTAAAACATGTAATATATGTATAAAGTCATTACATGTGATTGAAGAACCAATTTATTGTATTTAATTTTGAGTAGCCAAATTAAAGGACAACACTATTTTGTTGTCCATTACAAGAGTTGTGTAGTCTAATGAAAACCAACTTCTTAGCCTATATCACAAAGGGTAGGTATGCAACAAAGAATGAAGAACAAACAAGTTTGGAAAGAAAAAGTTGGTGCTTTAATAAAAGTCTTTATATAAAGTCTTTAATAACCAAAGCAAGCTTTGGGTACTTGCACTTTAAAGTGACATCTAATGTTCTTATTCGAAGACAAGAAGCCACTTCAATACCATAATTCAGATAAAGAAAGAAAAATGAAAGGGATAAGATAAGGTTTGGACATGATACTTGCCTTTTTAATTCTCAAATAAAAAAAATAAGGGAAATGTCAAAAAGCCTAAAAATAGTAACCATACACTATCTGTGCTACAAAAAAGATTCCAATTTCATATTATTATTTCTTATAGAAGTACATTTCTAAACTATTAGTAATGCATAAGTTACATAATAGCTACAGAAATTACAAAAACACAGTATTACTTGTACAGTTAAACTACTGAATAAAAAATCAGAATAATTAATTGTAAATGGTCATTTGGCTCTGAAAGGAGATTTTGTTTCACTTACCCTGACTACTTTCATTCTGGTTTTCTGATTTTCTCTTTCTTCCTCTAGATGATTCCGATTGTTTCTTCTCTGGTGTCTACAGAAAGCAAGTTTACAGAATTTAAAAACATACTTTTTACATACAAAATTATTAGTCACTATACAAATTATTTTCATTTTCAAAATAAAAACGGTTTTGTTCAATAGTGTTCATGTGATATAAATGAAGTTACTTTTACACAATTTATTAAAAGATAAAATTTTCTACTGTGTAAGCTTTTAAAATTCAAAGTACAGAAGACTTACACATATTACGTGAAATTCACATTTACAGAATCTGATTTGAGGTGGGTGAAAATCTGAGAGTAATTAGCCTTTTTAAAGGCTGTTCTTTAACATCTTTAAAGAAAAATGAAAGTTCTTCGCATTCTTAACTGGATTGGGTAAAAAACAACAAAAATAAAGAATAAAAACTTATGTTTTTCCTATTAGCGTTCTATTATTCACACATATTTAGTCTATAAAAGTAAACTCGGATGAAAAAGAAAAGAGCAAACTTAAACTCTGATATATATACAATCCCTACTAAAAAGGACCATTCACCTAAATGTTTAACAATTATTATGTAACAACAATTAGAGCAAATTTGTAGATTGTGCCCTAAATTAGGGGACAGCAAACTACAACCCACTGGCCAAATCTGGCCAGCCACCTGTTTTTGTAAGGCCCAACCTAAGCCTAACTTTTACTTTTTTTTAAATAACCAAAAATTTAATAATTAAAATACTATGATATGAAAATTTTAAGAAATTCAAATTTGAGTGTCCATAAATAAAGTTTTATTGGAACACAGCCACACTCATTCATTTATGTACTATCTATGGTTGCTTTCAGACTACAACAGCAGAGTTAGTTCCTACAGAGACTCTATGGTCTACAGAGCCTAAAATATCTGGCCCTTTACAGAAAAAGTCTGCAGACACCCCATCCTGGATGATGGCTTATTCCCAAATTAGTATTTTCATCAGGCTAAAATGACAAGTAATTTTCATGGAGTGTTGACAGACTGTTGTTGTGCTTAAAGATTAAAACTAAGAGCAAAAGCACAAGGCAATGGCACAAGGCCCTCAAATTCTAGAAGCTTGGCAAGTACGTCTGGTGCCAGAACAAAGAATGTCTGAATGAATGAAACATCGAGGCAACTTAAAATAAATCTCTAAAGGCAATGTAGTCCCCAAACAAGGAAGGAACATATTCCATATTTTGTTGTATGAATAGTCTATGATTAAACAGTATGAATGACAACACATAACCTAACTCGTGTTGAGCATCTATGATTCCTCTTCAGTATTATCACAGAGATTTTAAGTTTTCTTACCCTCATTTTTATCAACAAGATAACAGATTCTGAGAGGATGAAGTGAATGTTTAGAATCTGAATTCTTTAAAACAGGAGTGACACCATCTTCCCACCTCACCTTCCCATTCTCCCATTCCTGCATACAGTTATCACTTGATAAATACATGAATCTTAAATAACTTATTCAAGGTAACCAGGATGGAAATCAAATTCAACTCTGTACTTTCAAGGCCGGAATGGTCTTTTATTCTCTATGTGACATGTTACCTACCCTATATCCAGAACTGAATGAATCAACTATACAAAAAAACTTCAAAATTTTATCAAGTTTGTAAATAAAATTCATTATGTCTATCAATAAACTGCCTGTATGTTTTCACAACACAAACCAGATATCTTAAAGAAATCCACTCTAACTTGCAATCTATTCAGAAGGCAGACTGATGTACCAACAATTTAGGGTAAGTAGTTCAGAGTTTAGTTATCAAACTCAGACAAACAATAACCAATCTTCTATTTTCTTCAAAATAACACTAAATTAAAAATTCTAGGTTAACATTTTTATAAACAACCCTAAAATCTATCTTAAACAAAAAAAGAACTGATTCGCAAATAATATTTATTCATATCCTTCCCAACTTAATCTATGTAAAAAATATAATTTAAAATCAAGAATATACGGTTTTTCACAAGTTTAACGTTACACTAATTTTTTTTAATGTTTATTAATTTTTGAGATACACATGCGCGCGCACACACACACACACACACACACACACACACACGGCATGAGTGGGAGGAAACACAGAATCCAAAGCAGGCTCCAGGCTCTGAGTTGTCAACACAGAGCCCAATGTGGGGCTGAAACTCATGAACTGTGAGATCATGACCCAACGCGAAGTCGGATGCTCAACCAACTAAGCCACCCAGGCACCCCAATGTTATACTAATTTTTAAGCATGACAGGATCCCATCTGAATTCCATTTTAAGTCTTGACTAGCTAACTTTTGATAAACAACAAAGAATCCACACAGAATAATACAATTCTAAAAGTTATACTGGAAACACTGTCTATCTAAATGGTTCCACATTATTTTCTAAAATACATTGCAGGTAACACTGGACCAGTTAGATGAGAGGCTACATTTTAAAAGCAGAAGACCGTGGGGTGGTTCAACTGGGGTAAACAAAGTTAGATTTATTTACCACAAAGCTTCTAGGAACCATTAAAATGCTAACATTCACTAGTGATCTCCAAAAAGGGACTGGGATGGAAAGTTACAGTGTATATAGAAATTCTCAAACTTATTTGGAATATCATTTATTAAACACTTAACTGGATATATACTTGAAGATACTGAAGGTCTTTTTTTTTTTTTTTAAGACCTACAGATTACTTAGTAAAAACTTCTTTTCTCTGAGGCAACATTTCCCTACCTAAATTTTAAGTTTGATGGAATGGAAAAGTGGGACAGTCCTTTGAGGGAAATGTCATTTTGTTAAAAACTGTTAACAATGAATGATGGGACACCTGGGTGGCTCAGTCCATGGAGTATCTGAGTCTTGATCCCATGGTTTGTGAGATGGAGCCCTGATTTGAATTCGGCCCTATGCTGACAGCTCAGAGCCTGGAGCCTGCTTCTGATTCTGTGTCTCCCTCTCTCTCTGCCCTCTCCCATTGATGGTCTGTCTCTCTCTCAAAAATAAAAAATAAACATAAAAATTTACATAAAATAAACTTAAAAAAAAAAACCCAAATGAATAATTATTACAGTTAAAACACACACACACACAAAAGGAACGGGTTTACCTTGTTTACACCAGAAAAGAATTTGAGGAAGAAGGGGGGAAAAGGATGACTAAAGAACTAAGGAAGTAAAATTAATTTTAAGACTAACATGACTAATGTGGGGTAAGAGGTTGCAAATAGGTAATAAAAAATTGAAAAGTTAAGCAAAATAAAAAATGAGAAAGGAAAACCTAGATATAACTAAATTTGCCTATCAAGTAAATGTTTCCATTACAAACACACCATTTTGTCCCTTCCTATGAACCTTTATCTTTTTTCACCGATGCTGTAGTATGACCACCTCATTCCTCACTCTCACCCCAGATTATTTTAGGCTTGTTCTGTCAGCCCAAATGAACTGTAATTTTCTAAAGAGCAAGTACCATGGCTCTCTGAAGAAAAAGACTGGGACTAAGAATCAAACTCTGGATCCATTATTTACCATAACTCTTAGCATGTTACTTATTAACCTGACTCAGATTTTCTCATCAAATTTTTTTTACATAATCTCTATGCCCAGTGTGAGGCTTAAACTCAGGATGCTGGGATCAAGAGTCACATGCTCTACTGACTGAGGCAGCCAGGCACCCTATTCCCATCAATTTTAAATGTGATAATACAGGTATAGGATTGTGGGGATTAAATGAGAAACATACCAGAAACACACTTGATACAGCATCTGGAACAGATACATACTCTATAAATGTCAGTAAGTACCCAATAAATTTTCTTATCTGAGTACCTATCCTATTATTACAAATATCCGTGTACTTTCATATTTCTAAAGTTCAATCATGTGCCACCTGTTAAATGATTAGCAGATTCTGCCCTTATAGCTTACAAGTAACTTGTAGGGCTTGCTTGCAAAATAAGTGGTTTCCTCTCTAAGGTCCCATTCAACTCTGTTCTCAATTACAAGCCACAGAACTGGCAGTTAGGCCCTAAGTGTTGTATCACTAACCTTCAGGACAATGTGCATTAGTTATGTGGTTTTAAATTTAAATAATCTCAATAACACTTAAACAAAACAATAATTCTCAGTGAAGGCTACTGCTGCCAATTCTCCTGAATCACTCATTTCTATATGGATTTATCTGGGAATTTAGAAACGTGGGAATTTAGGATATGTGGAAATTTGGCAAATATTTAATGGGTCTAAAATGGCTCATCAGTGAAGAATTCAGAATGCTATCTGCAATTTTTCAGACAGTACTCCAGAGATACCTTAAGAGAAAGGAGGTTGTGCCTCAAAAGTTTAGTTAAAGAGGAGAGAGAAGGGAAGAAAGAAGCAGGTGGCTGAGCTAAGGCTCTAGCTTATCAGAGACACATCCTACCCCACCTCCACTTCTGTGCTTGCAAACACTGCATTTCTTATTTTAACACTCGAAATTCTATATTTGACTTACTTTGAAGAAAGAGTTCTATGGCTTAAAAAAGATTTGAAAAACCATCAATCTTGACCAGTGATTTCCAAGAAAATCCAAGGGACATCAACCACGCCAGCTTTGTATTTGCACGAGGCATAAAATTTGCTCATGTCAAGCATTTTATATAAAATAATTCCAAGCTTGCTATTGCTCTCGTGGATGCTGTTATTTCATTCTTTTCTTCTGTTTTTTTCTCAACTGTTGCATTACACTTGACCACAATAACAAAGGCAAAATAAATATAGAAGGCAAAATAATGTCATTTTGCTTTAAAGCAAAGATGGAAAGATTACAGCAATTATAAAAAGTCAAAGAATTATCACATACAACAGAACAGTGGTTAGGAGAAAATGATGAAAGGAGAGACTGGTACTATTTAAAAAATCAGTTTAGCTTCATAAGTGCTAATTTGTAATCATACCAAAACCTGAATGATTACTCTGGCATTTAAATGTTCTAAGATATTAGTGAGAATTTAACACAGTACTTCCTAGCAGTTGAAAGTATGTTCAAAAAACAA